TGTTTTGATGGTTGTATCTTTTGTTGTACAGAGTTGTTGGCTGTAAACCTATACAAAGTTGCTGAAACCTCATTGCCGAAATATCAAAGTTTTACTAGTATATAGAGGGAGCCCTAGGTTTCTGAAACTTTAATAATTGGAATCAAATAAGGGTTTAAGGAAGCAAAAACATTTAGAGCCTGTTTGGTGTGACTTGTGAGAGCTTTTGCTTTTTGAGTACTGTTATGAGTTATGAGTGATAAGTTTAAATTTTTATTAGAGGAAAAATTGAGCTTTTGTTTTTAAAGATATGAAAAAGTGAGTGAAAAGTAAGTAAAAAGGGAGTTTATGAAAAGTTTAGGTTTGAAACTTTTGAGTTTTTACTGTTTAAGAGCTTTTTAAAGTTAAAAAAATATTTAAAAGTGTAAGTTTTTTTTAAAAAAAATTTAATTTATGAAATATGAATAATATCCAAAAACTAAAGTTCCTAGGAGCTGATCCAAACAGACCCTTAGTATGATTGAGCTGCTCATGAACTTGCTTTTATACTTTGTTGAATGATGCGTTTACTTTAAGATATTATTACGACTTATAAAAAAGGTTTTTCTTTTTTGGCTAGATTAAGTCCATGTGTAAAAGTAAAATTTGGGCTAGGTTCTTCCTTTCTGGCTAGATCGGGAAAAATAGAAAACAGTGTGGTAGAATTTATGTTCCGTCACGCTCTCACCTTTTTTTATTTACTTTCCTTTAAGAATTCAGTGCACATTACTAAGTTCGACAATCCAATATCTTTTAGAAAAAAAGCACACGACAGGAGAAATAAAGAATCCGGAGAAAATTCCAACTTATGGTGGTCACCAAGTTGTCCTTACATACATAGTCTGCTTACAATAAATTAATTAGATTCTTTCTTGACTCGTGGTGATCACGAAGTTATCCATTTATATATACAAGTCTACCTACAATGAATTCCGATCTTATTTATCTTAACAACTCAATGGTCTTGACGTCAGAATCTGGAGAAGATATCTTATATGGTGTACCTGCAATAAATAGACGCATCATTTTTAATTCTTTTATGTTCCCTGTTAACATTGTTCAATCTATGTGTTCCATTGCAGCTATTTATATGCATAAGCAGTATACATAAGCAGAAAGGTTCCGAAACTCAAATAGTTGAACCAAAAGGTAAAATTTGGACCAATTTTCCTTGACAATTTTCATTTTTGTTCAGGTAGATTAATCTTAATTTTGTTCTTATCACTCTAAGTGAATATAATGGTTTTGGGTAAACATAAATTTCATTTTTCTTTAAGGATTTTGATTTAAGGAGCTCCTGCTCATAAATCAAAGGTCAAGTCTTCGTTTTGTATTTGCAGGGATGCTTCCGAGAGAGGAAACTAAAATTTCCAAAGTTGATTAATTCAATTCTGTCTTGTTTTCTAGCTTGAGAGAAAGAGACCAGAGTAGGCAAGTCAACAAGTCAATGGTCTTCCATTTCTTTTAAGTTAACTTGACCGTGTTCCACACTCTGATTTGTATTGTTGAATTCTAAGATCAAACCATATGGCCCACTGTACCTTTCAGTTCAAAATTTCCAAACTGTCCATCTTCCTTAGATTAGACTTTCACAGCTTTATAACCTTTTTTGTGCTAAACACATAGTAAGATAAGAATTATAGGGTTCTTTGAATCATATTGTTCAAATAAGTAATTTTCTTTGACACAATCATAGTCCAAATTGTATTGTTGAATTCCAA